AAAAAAAAAAAAAAAAAAAAAAAGATACCGTTTCACTCGTGTCACTCAGACTACAGTGCATCAGCACGATCTCGGCTCACTGCGACTTCTGCCTCCCGGTTCAAGTGATTCTCCTGCCTGAGCTTACCAAGTAGCAGGGATTACCGGCGCCCGCCACCACGTCCAACTAATTTTTTGCATTTTTAGTAGAGACTGGGTTTTTCTATGTAGACCAGGCTGGTCTCGAACTGTTGACCTCAACTGATCTACCTGCCTCAGCCTCCGAAAGTGCTGGGATTACAGGCGTGAGCCACTGCTCCCGGCCGATAAGCGTAAAATTAACTGCAATAGCAGAAATTGTCAGGGATGTAATCACCAACCGATTTTGCCCTGCCCTGGCAGGATCCCAGTGTGCAGACTCCTAAGTCACTGCATCCTCAGTCAGGTCTCTCCAAATCCGGAAAAACAGAGGTGCTGGGAGCAAAGCGGAGGGAAGCGCACGCCCCTCCCTATCCCGCCCTGGCCCCGCCCCTATCTCACCATGGCGCTGCCCCAGCCCCGCGAGGCCTGGCCTCCCCTCCTGGCGCGCGGGTTCCGGCAGACTCGGAAGCTGATCTTGCAGGGTGGCAGAGCCATTTTTCCCTTTGTTTAGATTAAATCTGCGCTTCCCAGCTCTCCCGCCCTTCTGTACTCAGGATCTGAGGGCAGCACAGACCTTAAAATCCTCGCACTGCTCCCTCCACCCCAAGTAAATTCAGGCTTCTCTGTGAGAGTCCGGCAATCGTTTTCCTGCGTGTTAAAATCGCACGGAGGCCGGTCCTGTCCCCAGTGTTTCTGCCATAGGGCCATGTAGACAGCTCTTATCATGGAGCTGCTTCAAATCCTTCAATGACACCTACATCCACCCCCTGCCACGTAAAGTCCTCATCCACTACTTATGTCCGTCAGGCCCCCAAAGCCTTGCCCTCCTCGGCCCCGGGAGCACAGCACCCCAGCCCCAAACCATGGAGGCTGCATCCTGTGACTGGTTCTGGTAACCTGCAGACCCTCCCCCCTAATAATTCGCCCTCTTCCCTTTTCTTTCTTGATCTTGGCCCTTCTGATCACCAGGCGTCTGTAGGGTTAATATAAGAAAAGTCGGCCGGGCGCGGTGGCTCACGCCTGTAATCCCAGCACTTTGGGAGGCCGAGGAGGGTGGGTCACGAGGTCAAGAGATCGAGACCATCCTCGTCAACATGGTGAAACCCCGTCTCTACTAAAACTACAAAAAATTAGCTGGGCATGGTGGTGCGTGCCTGTAATCCCAGCTACTCAGGAGGCTGAGGCAGGAGAATTGCCTGAACCCAGGAGGCGGAGGTTGCGGTGAGCCGAGATCGCGCCATTGCGCTCCAGCCTGGGTAACAAGAGTGAAACTGTCTCAAAAAAAAAAAAAAGAAAAAAAGAAAAAAAAGTCATGCCCAGTGTTTGCTCTAAGTTTCTTGGACCTTGGGAACTAAAGTTATTTCTTTGGCAGTAAGCCTGGGGCATTAGGAGCTCATGATGGCCCTGGCTTATGTCCGAGGAGCCGGGAATCTGGCCAATTCCCGTCTCTTCGAGAACCGTAGACAAAGCCAAGGATTGCTGTTACATAATGATAACGTTCATGAGAGACAAGACAAAGAGCAGCTGGTGTTTACTTTATGACCTAAGTTGAACTGCAACATATAAAATACAGACAAAAACCAAAGAAAGACGGAAAGAGGGAAAAAGAGAGGAAGAGAAAGATTGCAGAGAGCTGTGACTTGCGCCTTGCCCGTGCTGCTGTAACGCCGGTGCTGAAGAGAGGGAGAGAGAGAGACGAAAAGATTGCTTAAAGTTCTGACTTGCGTTTTGCCCGTGCTGCTGTAACGCCGGTGCTGAGTGTCCGGACGGACGGTCTCTGGGTATGTCCCTTTTGTAAATAAAATCCTCTTCCTTTACCTATAACCTTCTGTAAATAAAATCCTCTTCTTTTACTTTGTTATTCTCGGCTTGGTGTTTTCTTCTCGCGAACCTGCCTCCAAATTACAAATCCGAGCTCGGTATCATTCCTGTTCTTAGTAACAGAACAGCGTCCTCTTCCTGGCCACCTCTTCTCCTGACCCCGCGTTGGGGAGGTGATCAGGGCCTGTCTGTTCACCTCCAAATGTTCTTGTGGTCCACTCAAAATGAGCTTTTCCGGAGGTGGGCATCTTATTCCAGTCTCCTCCTTTATGTGACCACCATGCTGGACAGGCTGGTCTCGAATTCCTGACCTTAGGTAATATGCCCACCTTGGCCTCCCAAAGTGCTGGGATTATAGGCTACACGCCCTGCGTTTTCCAGATGTTTGAGGAAAGACCCTATCAGTGACCAGAAGCCATGCCTGTAATCTCACCTCACCTCCCTACAGCCTGCTAGAATAACAAGATAATGCCTCTAATAAAAGTGTGTGGAGCTCAGAGCTCAGGGCCAATGCTGTCCCACCACGCTAGCATTCGTTGGCCCCCCTGGACCCGCACTGTGGAATTCTACTCTTGTCTTTGTCTTATTTCTTTTCTCACTCCCCTGTCACCACCAGGACTCAGGGCGCCCACGTACAGGGTTGAGGCTGGCACCCAACACATCAAATTGGATCCTGTTTAGACATGTTATAACTAGTATGGGCTTATTTTGGTACACGAATGTTTCAAATCCATACAGTTTTTTTTCATAATACACAATTTCCATGAACTTTTAAAAGACCCCCATATTATCCTAGTACTTATATTTAACTGAAGACTTACAGGGACACTCCTTTTTTCATATTTATAGAGAACACAGGTTGTGTCTGCCATGTCTTATGCTTATTTTCATGTCAGAAAATTCTGTCTCCCAACCACACCCTCATTTAAGTACCCCCTAAATTTTTTACTGCAGTTAACACAGGGAAGAAATCTATTAAATATACAAGCTGATTACAATGTATGGAAGGAACACTTTCCAGTGCCTAAAAACCCCAGAATAGACCTCAGTCAGTACTCCTGTTCAGGATCCCCTCTCTGCTGGCAGAGAGATTTCTCCTTTTGCTTATTAAATTTTCGCTACAACCTCACTTTTGTGTCCTCACTCCTTTTCTTGAAGGTAGGACAAAGAAACACAGGCGTTATCTCAAGTGAGACTGTTATATCTTGGTACATTGCTGAGACTATGCTCAGAAAGAGAAAGGTCCTCAAAAACATATACATCAGACTGGGCGCAGTGGCTCACATCTGTAATCCCAGCACCTTGGGAGGCTGAGGCAGGTGGATCACCTGAGGTCAGGAGGTCAAGACTAGCCTGATACCCTGTCTCTACTAAAAACATAAAATTAGCTGGGCATGGTGGCGCAGGCCTGCAATCCCAGCTACTCGGTAGGCTAAGTCAGGAGAATCACTTCAACCCGAAAGATGGAAGTTACAGTGGGCCGAAATCATGCCACTGCACTCCAGCCTAGGTAACAAGAGCAAAACTCCGTCTCAAAGAGAAAGAGAGTGGGAGAGGAGGGAAAGGGAGAGATGGAGAGAGGGGAAGGCAGGGAGGGAGAGAAATATGGTGATACAGTGAACATTCACCAAGAGTGATGTATACGTGTTTGAGGGTATAGGATGCTGCAGGTGCACTGCTGTGGGATTTTCATTGTACCCACATAAGCATTCTAGGGCAGAAAACAGATATAACTCATGTACCTAGTATGATTACTTATATTCACACTTACCTAAAGATATGTACCCAAATGACATGTTTCATTTCACAGCCGGAAAACCTGCTTTGGATGCTCCAACCTTAAAATCCCAATGGTACATTACTGCGTGCTACTGAGCATCCATCCTCCTGAGGTGGGATGAAATCATGTTGTTAGAAAAGACAGGATTCATTCATACGTAGGAAAAATGAAACTTTATTACTGCAAACAAGAGAACTACACACATTCTTAAAAAAAAAAAAAACAGTTGTAACTTATAATGCCTATAATGCCAAGAATTAAGTGAGAATCCTACTTGAGAATATGCTGATTTGGTCGGGCACAGTGGCTCATGCCTGTAATTCCACCATTTTGAGCCCAAGGTGGGTGGATCACCTGAGGCAGGAGTTGACCAGTCTGGCCAACATGGTGAAACCCCATCTCTACTAAAAATACAAAAATTAGCTGGGTGTGGTGGTGTGCACCTATAATCCCAGTTACTTGGGAGGCTGAGGCAGTGCTTGAACCCAGGAAGTGGAGGTTGCAGCGAGCCAAGATCATGCCACTGTACTCCAATCTAGGTGACAAGAGTGAAACTCCATCTCATGTAAAAAAAGAATATGCTGATCTGGTCATGATTAAATTCTCTACTGTGATATAACTTCTCTCTTCCATTTCGAAGATAAGTCTGGACATGGTGGCTCATACCTGTAATCCCAGCACTTTGGGAGGCCAAGGTGGGCAGATCACTTGAGGTCAGGAGTCTAAGATCTGCTTTGCCAACATAGTATAAACCCTATTTCTACTAAAAACACAAAAATGAGCTGGGTGTGGTGATGCACACCTGTAGTCCAGCTACTTGGGAGGCTGAGACGGAAGGACTGCTTGAACCCAAGAGGCAGAGGGTGCAATAAGCCCAGAACACACTACTAAACTCCAGCCTGGGCAGCAGAGAGATGCCATCTCAAAAAAAAAAAAAAAAAAGACTAGGTTGTCTCATCAGTCTTTGCTAAACACCAACTACTGCTATTCAATGGAGAAGGTAGACATCTTTTTCCTTGCATTATTTCTGCTCTATAATGAGACCCCAGCAACATATTACTCTCTTCCCATTAATAACCCACGTCTTAAGATCATGGACACTCTATTTCATGGTCAGTTGGTAGATACTGAGGCAGTGTGAACTTACATCAGGAGAAAATGTGCTGGTCAACAGTATGATGATGGTCATCAGAGCTTTAAGTTACTCTGCCCACCTCCATGCTCTCTAAATCAGACAGTATTTAATCCAAAAAGGCAGTGTTCTTCTTCATCTGGAAATTGGATAGAAATAATCCTCAGCTAATGAAGTTAGCCCTGTCATCCTACTCATTCTTTCCCAGAGGCCCGTATGGAAGGCACATGAAGAAATTTCAAAGTCATAAAGAGTAAACTAGCCTTTTCTACATACCCCAAATAATTGAATTTTTTATAACCTGAATACAACTGATCATTTCCACATGCCCTTGCACCTTCGATATACATCATCTCATGAGATTCAACATATTTTAACAGCATTATTCTGCAGCATGCCATATCATAAACACTAGAGAACCAAAGACTAAGTTACTTGTGCAAATTCTATCATATTCTATAGTAACTGTCCTTGAATAATAGCCTGAGTACACATAATCCATCTATGTGGTTTCATCCAAGAGGTATATTTTGATGTCCAGTGATTTGGCAGACCTTGATAATGCCTGAGTCACACACATTTCATTTATATGATTTCCACTTAGTATGGACTTTCTGATGTTAATGCTGGAAATCATGATGAAGATCTTGCCATACACAGTTTGTAAGAACTCTCATGAATGAATTCTCTGATGCTGTGCAAGGTCAGAATTGTGGCTAAAGACCTCACTGCACAGGGTGCATTTGTAAGGTTTCTCTCCAATATGAATTCTCTGGTGATTGGTTAGGGAAGACTTGTGACTGAAGATCTTGCCACATTCTTTACATTCATGAGATTTCTTTTCAGCATGGATTGCAAGATGGGCAGTAAGGCCAGAACACCCTCTAAACGCTTTGCCACATTCATTACATCTGTAAGGTCTCTCTCCAGTATGAATTATTTGATGTCTTGTAAGGTATGAAGGTTGATTAAAGACCTTGCCACATTCATTACATTTGTAAGGCTTCTCTCCTGTATGAATTTTCTCATGGCATATAAGGTTTGAACTACGACTGAAGACCTTGCCACATTCATTACATTTGTATGGCTTCTCTCCAGTATGAATTCTATGGTGACTAGTTAGAGAAGACTTGTACCTGAAGACTTTGCCACATTCTTTACATTCGTAAGGTTTCTCTCCACTATGGATTAGAAAATGGGCAGTGAGGTCTGAAAACTCTCTAAACCCTGTGCCACATTTATTACATTTGTAAGGTTTCTCGTCAGTATGAATTTTTCGATGTCGTATGAGGTCTGAATTCTGACTAAAGATCTTGCCACACTGATTGCATCCGTAAGGTTTCTCTCTAGTATGAATTCTCTGATGAGAGGTCAGGAAACACTTGCGCCCAAAGACCTTGTCACATTCTTTACATTTGTAAGGTTTCCTTCCAGTGTGAATTAACTGATGGGTAATGAGGCTGGAACGCACTGAAAATGCTTTGCCACATTCTTTACATTTGTAAGGTTTCTCACCAGTATGAACTGTTTGATGTTCTGCTAGATATGAATGGCGACTGAAAACTTTGCCACATTGATTACATCTGTAAGGTTTCTCTCCAGTATGAATTTTCTGATGCCGTACAAGGTGTGCAATTTGATTGAAGACCTTGTCACATTGATGACATTTGTAAGGCCTCTCTCCAGTATGAATTCTTTGATGTTGTGCAAGCTTTGAACTGCTACGAAAGACCTTGCCACATTCATGACATTTGTAAGGCTTCTCTCCAGTATGAATTCTTTGATGTTGTGAAAGGTTTGAATTGCTACTAAAGACCTTGCCACATTCATTACATTTGTAAGGCTTCTCTCCAGTATGCATTCTTTGATGTATCACAAGCTTTGAACTGCAATTAAAGACCTTGCCACACTCATTGCATTTGTAAGGAATGTCTGCAATATGGATTACTTGATGGTTGGTAAGGTTTGCAGATGCTCTAAAGACTTGACCATGCTCATTACCTTCATAAGGTTCTCCCCTAATATGTGATTTCTGTTCTTGCGGAAGAAATGGAGCATCATCAAAATTATTTCTATATTTACTTAAAAGGCGGGATTCGACACTGGAAGAAGTATTTTGAAGTGGTGAAACGGAGGAATTCTCATTTATGAGTTTTTCAACATCCTTACATCCAGACATTTTCCTTTCATCTTGAAATAACTGCAGATCACTCAGATGTAAATGAAACATGAATCCAAGTTGACTTTTACAAGGCTTGTTTCCTACATTACTTCCCAATTTACAGCTCCTCTCTAAAACAGAAAGAAAGCAGTGGAACTTCAACCCATGATAATGGCATGTTTAGTGTCTGACAGAAGATCTAGATTCTGCCTCACCTAACTCAGGCATTGGTAGGAATATCAGCATATTGTGTACATCATGCTGGCAGTGCAGAAAACACAAGGAACTGAGGTGATGCACTGGAGCAGTGGGGAATCTGAAGGAGTCGAGAGAACTATGGGGAAGTCTGAAAGAGGTTATGAGTAGAGAAGTACAACAGAAACTGAAAGCTTTTGGGAAAAAGCAGGGATGAGCCTCTTAGGGAAAATCAGAAATCCAAGAACAGCTATATAGACATTAGTAATGGTACTTCCACAATTCAGAAAAATCCCAGAAAAGGAATGAGTGTTCCCAGGAACCATCTCACCCTGTACAATCCTTACATAAAAGAACGGGAATGGCCAGTAAAGTGGTTCACGTCTATAATCCCAACACTTTGGGAAACCAAGGTGGGCTGGTTTCACTTGAGGTGAACAGTTCGAGACCAGTCTGGCCGACATAGTGAAACACACTATGAGGTCAAACACTTCAGGTCAGGAGTTTGAGACCAGCCTGGCCAACATGGTGAAACCCCGTCTCTACTAAAAATACAAAAAGTTAGCGAGGCCTGGTGTCGGGCAGCTGTAATCCCAGATAATCAGGAGGCTGAGGCAGGAGAATTGCTTGAACCCGGGAGGCAGAGGTTGCAGTGAGCCAACATTGTGCCAGTACACTGCAGCCTGGGTGACAAAGGTGGGGGGGGGAAGAGAGAGAAAAGAAAGAAAGAAGAAAAGAAAAGAAAGAAAACAAAAGAAATAAGGGAGGGAGGGAAGGAAGGAAGGAACGCACAGAAAGGAAAGGAAAGAAAGAAATGAACTGGGAGAAGTGGTTGTTTTAGCAAACCTAAAAAATAATTAGATGGCCTACAAATGGACATGGAAATATGGCTAAAATTAAACAAAGAAACAAACAAATCTCCAACCTATATAAAGGCAGCCCTCGGATTACTTGACAAATATCAAAAGCAACTGTCTTAAAATAAAACCACGCATGAAAAGGAGTGTATCATGGCAGGTGCCTGTAATCCCAGCTACTCGGGAGGCCTGGGCTGAAGAATCACTTGAACCCAGGAGGCAGAGGTTGCAGTGACCCAAAATCGTGCCACTGTACTCCAGCCTGGGCAACGGAAGGAGACTCTGTCTCAAAATAAAAGAAGGGGGGGGATATAAAACATGGGAGAAACTATTAAAAAGAGAATAAGAACTGTAGAGCTGAAATACCATGATTGAAGTAAATGTTCACTAGAGGGTTCAGCAGCAGACTGAATAAGGCACAAGAAACAAGAAGCAGACTTAAAGAAGAAACAATGAGCAAAAAGGAAACACAACAAGCCAGGTGAGGTGGCTCACACCTGTAATCCCAGCACTTTGGGAGGCTGAGGTAAGAGGTTCACATGAGATTGGGAGTTCGAGACCAGCCTGGCCAACATGGAGAAACCTCATCTATTCTAAAAACACAAAATTAGCCATGTGTGATAGTGCATGCCTGTAATCCCAGCTACCTGGGGGGCTGAGGCAAGAGAATCGCTTGAACCTGGGAGGTGAAGGTTGAATGAGCCAAGATCATGCCACTGCACTCAGCCTGGCAACAAGAGCAAAACTCCATCTCAAAAAGAAAAAAAAAGAAAAGAAAACACAATGAAGAAAAGGACACAGTTTTTCTTACAGATTTTTGAAGAACAATCAAGTGGGAAAATATACAAACTACTGGAGGTGCATAAGGAGAAAACAGAGGATCAAAAATTACAATTGAAGAAATAATTTCCGAAACATCCCAAATCTGAGGAAAGAACTGAATATAGAAATTCAAGGGGCTTGACCAGACCAAAAACAATGGCTCACACCTGTAATCCCAGCACTTTGGGAGGCCGAGGCAGGTGGACTACCTGAGATCGGGAGTTCAAGATTAGCCTGGCCAACATGGTAAAACCTTGTCTCTACCAAAAAATACCAAAAATTAGCCAGTACAGTAGCTCATACCTGTAATCCTAGCACTTTAAGAGGCCAAGTGGGCCGGGCGCGGTGGCTCAAGCCTGTAATCCCAGCACTTTGGGAGGCCAAGGCGGGTGGATCACAAGGTCAAGAGATCGAGACCATCCTGGTCAACATGGTGAAACCCCGTCTCTGCTAAAAAAAAAATACAAAAAATTAGCTGGGCATGGTGGTATCTGCCTGTAATCCCAGCTACTCAGGAGGCTGAGGCAGGAGAATTGCCTGAACCCAGGAGGCGGAGGTTGCGGTGAGCCGAGATCGCGCCATTGCACTCCAGCCTGTGTAACATGAGTAAAACCTTTCTCAAAAAAAAAAAAAAAAAGAGGCCAAGTGGGGTGGACTGCCTGAGCTCAGGAGTTCCGAGACCAGCCTGGGCAACATGGTGAAACCCTGTCTCTACTAAAATACAAAAAATTAGCCAGGCACAGCGGTGTGCACCTGTAGTCCCAGATACTCGTGAGGCTGAGGCAGGAGAAATGCTTGAACCCAGAAGGCAGAGGCTGCAGTGAGCCGAGATGGCGCCACTGCACTCCAGGCTGGGCGACAGAGTGAGACTCCACCTCCAACAAAACAAAACAAAAATATAAAAAATTAGCCGGGTGTGGTGGCAGGCACCTGTAATCCCAGTTACTTGGGAGGCTGAGGCAGAAGAATTGCTTGAACCTGGGAGGCGGAGATTGCAGTGAGCCAATCTCATGCCATTGCACTCCAGCCTGGGCAGCAAGAATGAAACTCCATCTCAAAAGAAAAAAGAGGCTTGACCATTCTAACTAAAATTAATCCAAATACATTCTCACAGAGACATACTGTAAAGAAATTATCAAAAGTCAAAAGAAGACAAAGACACAAACTTGACAGCAGCAACAAAAAAGAGATTGTCAGACAACAGGAAACATTGTAAGATTATATGTATTTTCCAGGTGATATCTTCCGGCTAGAAAGCAGTGAGGTGATATACTGAAAGTGCTTAAAGAAAAATAAGCAAAACAGCAATGCAGAATACTGCACGTAGCAAAACTCACCTACAAAAATAAAGACTTTTAGACTTTCCTAGATGAAAAGCTGAGGAAGTTAATTAGTATTCTAGACCTGTTCAAGAAGAAATGCAAAAAGCAGCATTCAAGATGAAAGGAAAGCAATCTTTAACCTAAATGAAAATGTAAAGCTCATCACAGCCTGGGCGCGGTGACTCACGCCTATAATCTCAGCACTTTGAGAGCCTAAGGTGGGTGTATCACCTGAGGTCCGGAGTTTGAGACCAGCCTGGCCAATGATGAAACCCTGTTTCTCCTAAAAATATAAAAATTAGCTGGGTGTGGTGGTGGGCCCCTGTAATCTCAGCTACTCGGGAAGCTGAGGCAGGAGAATCACTTGAACCCAGGATGAAAGGTGGCAGTGAACCGAGATCCTGCCATTGCACTCTAGCCTGGGCAACAAGAGCAAAACTCCATCCCCAAAAAATAAACAATACAATAAAAATGCTTATCATAAAAGGTCAACAAATGATTAAATACAGAAACATGTATTATTGCACTTTTCACTTGGAACTTGACTTTAAATTCTTTCCTACAGTTTAAAAGACACAATCAGGCCGGCACAGTGGCTCATGCCTAATCCCAGCACTTTGGAAGGCCAAGGTAGGAGTTGGAGACCAGCCTGGCCAAGATGGCAAAAACCCATCTCTACTAAAAATACAAAAATTAGCCACGGGTGGTGATAGACACCTTTAATCCCAGCTACTCAGGACGGTGAGGCAGGAGAATCACTTGAACTCAGGAGGCAGAGTCCACAGTGAGCCAGAATCCGTCTGGGTAGTAGAGGGAGACTCCATCTCAAAAAAAAAAAAAAAAAAGACATATTCATTTAAAAAGCATTATAGCTGGGCACGGTGGCTCACGCCTGTAATCCCA